CGTCTCATAGCGCTTGATGAAGTTGTGTTCCTGCGGGGCGGGAGGGGGTGAGCAGCGGGGACGTGGGGACATGGGGACACAGGGACAGGAGACAGGGGCATGGGGAGATGGGGACAGGGATGGGGACGCAAGGACAGGGACACGGGGGCACAGGGAGATGGACGCGAGCATCAGGACGTGGATATGGGCACCAGGACAGAGGTGTGGGGACACGTATGGGGACAGGGGTGCAGAGATGCAAGGACAGGGACACAGGGTCACAGGGAGATGGACACGAGCATCAGCACGTGGATATGGGCACCAGGACAGAGGTGTGGGGACAGGGACAGGGGGACACAAGCATTAGGACACGGACACGGGCACCAGGACACAGGAATGGGGGCACAGGCAGGGGGACGTGGACATGGGGACAGGGACACAAGGACACGGGCACCAGGACACAGAAGTGGGGACGTGCAAGGACACAGGGATGGGGACACAGACACAGGGACACGGACCCCAGACACCGGTGTAGAGACATGCATGGGTATGGGGACAGCGACATGGACACAGGGATTAGGACACAGGGACGGGGACAAGGACACCTGACAGTGTCGCAGACGTGAATGGGGACAAGGGCTTGGGACAGGGACCACCCCCCCCAGGGATGTCAGCACGTGCCCACCCAGGCAGGTGACATGTGTGGACCCCGGGACGGAGATGGGGACCCTCCCTGGGGACACGTGTGATGGGGACAGACGGCGGGAGGTGGCCCCAGGGACTCACCAGTAACTTGTTGTACTTTGGTCTCTTCCTGTGGTCCTTGGTGAGGCTGTGGGAGAGGGAAGGGGGGGTCAGCACCCTGGGGACACCCTGGGGACACCCCGGGGACATGTCCCCAGCCTGGGGAGAGTGGCTTGTCACCCACCAGTCCCTGACGAAGGCCTGGAAGTCCCCGGAGAAGCCCATGGCGGGGGGCAGCAATGGGGGGTCCTCCTGCAGCACCTTCGTCAGCACCTCAAAATCCGTCTTGCAGTTCTGGTAGGGGAACTGCCCCGTGGCCAGCTCCACCTGCAGGGACACCATGGGGACACCGCTGTCACCAGAGGGGGGGGACATGGGACAGGGACGTGGCTGTGCCACAGGGATGGGGCTGAGACATGGTGGCGGGACATGGTAGCAGCAATGGAGGTGGATGTGGTGAGGAGATACAGGATTGCGGGGATGCGGTGGCATTGCGGGGACATGGTGGGGACGCAGCGGGGACATGGTAGGGGCACAGTGCGACCTGGGGACAGGTTAGGGACATGCTGGGGACATGGTGAGAACCCAGGGACATGCTGGAGACACACTGGGGATGTGGCGGGGGACCTGGAAATGAGCTGGGGACATGTTGGGGACCCAGGGACATGCTGGGGACACACTGGGGACCCAGGGAGGGGTTGGGGACACGGGGGCACAGCTCACCAGGGAGATGCCGAGGCTCCAGACGTCGGCGCGGATGTCGTAGTCGGGCTTGGTGGGGTCGGGGGGGTCGATGCGCTCGGGCTGGGGGAGAAGGGGGGCTTGAAGGGGCTGGGGGCACCGAGGGGTCTGGGACCCACAGCACCCATGCTCCTGGGGGGACCCACAGCCCTGGGGGACCCAATTCTGGGGAGCAGGACCCACAGCACCCACCTCTGGGGTGCAGCACCTACCCCTGCGGTGCAGCACCCACAGCCCCAGGGGACCTGCAGCCCAACGAGACCCCCAGCACCCATCTCCATGACATGTAGCCCCCCTGCCATTCCCACCCCAGGACGACCCACTGGCACCCCTCCACCTCCACACAGCAGCACACCCCCACGAGGACTTCCCCCCTCCACACCCCCCACAGCACCCATGGGTGCTTACGGCCATGTAGGCGGCGCAGCCGGCGCTGCGGGTCTTGGCCTTGGAGTCGACGAGGCGGCCGCTGATGCCGAAGTCGCAGAGTTTGACCTGACCCCGCTCGTCCAACAAGATGTTGGAGGGTTTGACGTCACGGTGGATCACCCCATGCTTCTCTTTCAGGTAGAAAAGGGCCTTCACGATCTACAGGGAGGGGTGTCAGCAGTGGTGGCCCCCCAGCCAGGACCCTCGCGGTCTCCCCAAGTGTCCCCCAGGGTCCCCTCCCCACTCACCGCCACCGTCATCTTGCCCAGGATGCGCTCCGGGATGGGACCTTGGATGCGTTTCTTGAGCTTCTCGGCACAGGTGCCCATCAGCTCCATGGCGATGAAGACGTCGGTCTGAGGAAGAAGACGAGGGGTCAGCGGGCAGGGGACAGGGACGGACACAGAGCCAGGGAGGGACAGTGGGGACACCTCCCGCCATGGCTGGGGCGATGGGGACAACACAGAGTCCGGCAGGGACAGGGGACGGAGAGGGCGATGGCCGGATCACCCCGGGGCGGTGGGGGGGGGTCCGGTCCTTGTGGCTAGATCCAGACTTTGGGGAGGGGGTGGCTGCGGTCGTATCCAGACCCTGGAAGGGCCGAGGCGGGGAGGGGCTCACGTTGGTGATGAAGGTGCCGAAGCACTGGACGATGTAGGGGCAGTCGTGGCTCTTGAGCACCACATCCAGGTCCATCAGGATCCGTTTGTTCTCCTCCCGGTTTCCCGAGCGCCGCATTTGCTGGGGAGGGGACAGAAAAAATAAGGTGTGTGGAGGGGTGGATTTCAGGGCCAGATTCCAGCCTCGCTGTGGGGCAGGGAAGGGAAGGACCCCGGTATTTAAGGGGGGGGTGGGGGGGGCCCTCACCTTGACGGCGATGACATGGCCCGTCTTGCGGAAGCGCATCTTCCAGACCTGCCCGCAGGTGCCGCTGCCGATCTCCCCCAGGTTCTCCAGGTCGTTGATCTCCGCCTGGTAGCGCTGTGAGGGGGGAGCGGGAAAGGACACAGACATGGTGGGGGGGGGGTGTGGGGGGGTCAGGGTCCCCCCTGTGTCCCCCCCGTCCCCGCTCTGTGCTTACCTGCCCCCCCACGGTGAGGTAGCCTGTCTGCTTCATGATCTCCTGCAGCTTCTGGTCGATCTCGATGCTGGGGAGAAAAAGGGGGGGGCCCTGGCCAATCAGCATGAGGCAAGGGGGAGGCCTGGCCAATCAGCATGAGGCAAGGGGGAGGCCTGGCCAATCAGCATAGGGCAAGGGGTGACTAGCCAATCAGCACAAGGGGTGGGAGCTGCCTAGCCAATCAGCACATGGGGACTCACCCACACAACTGGCCAATCAGCACCGGGGGTCAGGGGGGCTGGCCAAGTCAATATGGGGGGCACCTGACCAATCAGCATGGTTGGGGAGAGCCTGACCAATCAGCACATGGGGGAATGAGGGGTGTGCCCACATGGCCAATCATGCAGCTGGGGGTATCCGCCCATCTGGCCAACAAGCTCTGTAAGAGGCAGCTGGCCAATCAACATGTGAGGAGGGTGCCCATGTGGCCAATCAACAGAAGGAAAGGTCTCCAAGCCAATCAGCACTGAGGGGGACATGCCTACTTGGCTAATCAACATCCATGGACTTCTGGTCACCTGGCCAATCAGCACAAGGAACTCTCCTCTCTGCTTGGCCAATCAGCATGTGCAAAATCACAGCTATCCAGCCAATCAGCACACAGGGAATACTGTCTGCCTGGCCAATCAGCACCCACAGTCCCCTGCATCTCTGGCCAATGAGCACATGCATCTCCTCCCTGCCTAACCAATCAGCAACCAGTAGGTCCTGCACATCTACCAATCAGCACACAACTCCCTTGCCTGCCTGGCCAATCAGCACCCAGCATCCTCCAGATCTCTTGCCAATCAGCCCCCACAGGCTCCTGCACACCCAGCCAATCAGCACCCACAAGTCTCCTGCCTGACTGGCCAATCAGCACATGCAGGCTCCTGTATAACCAGCCAATCAGTGTATCACAAATCTCTTGCCTGGCCAATTGGCACACAGGAACCCCCGAGACCTCCAGCCAATCAATCAGCCAATCAGTGCACATTATTCCCTCTTGACCTCTGGCCAATTAGCACACACAGTCTCCTGTACATTTGGCCAATCTGCACCTAATAATTCTCCTGCCTGGCCAATCAGCACACACAATGTCCCCTGGGCCTCTGGCCAATCAGCATGCGTGATCCCCCTGGACCTCTGGCCAATCAGCACGCAGAACTTCCCCTGGACCTCTGCCCAATCAGCATGCGTGATCCCCCTGGACCTCTGGCCAATCAGCACGCAGAACTTCCCCTGGACCTCTGGCCAATCAGCACACACGATCCCCCTGGACCTCTGGCCAATCAGCAC